CCCTCTGTTCATGTTTGACACACCTTCGCTGGAAGGACCAGCAACAGACTGCAACAGTGTGCGACCTGAAAATTTTCAAGATGCAGTGGGTTTGAGCACTGAAACGTGGAACCTGAGCCATCATCAGGTTCAGGCACTTCCTCCTCTAACAGTGACTGTGGGCTTGGACACCACAAATTATTTGCCACCATTGATAGAGAACGTGGACAACATGGTCCCGATTGAGGTACAACGTTGTCCCATGGACGAGCAAGGAGATATAGCACTAGAGTGCTTGCAGAGGCAAGGTTTAAATGAATGGGTGGAAACGCAGCAGCAATGTCCTAACTTTCTCTTTTGGGACAGTGTTGAAGGACATATTGGTGGGGAAGAACTAGCCACAAATGTGGAAGCAAACACACTTTCTCCTTTTCCTTCTTCTTTGTGAGATTAAAATGCTTGTGGAAGGTGTCCCCACTTTCTTGTATGACCTCTCTGACTAGCTAGGAAGACATTTTCATCAAATGGTCCAGGCCAGGCTTGTGAATTTGCAGAGGATATGCACGTTTTCTTTTGATTGCTGATTTGTAAAGATTGTGAAATGTGATTGAAGGTAAGAGAAATATGTGTTGTATGTAACAATGGTGATGTTTGTTGGGTGTTTTGACGTGGAAGAGGGAAAAAAAATAAAGGTGATTGCAACTAGCGGCAAAAGCTTTATTTTGAAGACATGTAAAGCATCTTCAAGTTGCTAGATATTTGGCTCTACATGTTTTGTGGATTTTCAAATGATAATAATGCATGCTTTTGCCCCCATCACATAATTCTGTGTCTTCTTATATACAATGTATCTTCTTCTTTTGTTCTATCACAGATTTTTTGTTATTTATTTGGTAGAGATTAATATTGGTATCAGCAATTTCGTTTTTTAGCTGTATAGTTTGACCGTGAGGTGGTTTGAGGACGACAATAATGAGTTTTTGTTCTTTGCATTTACATGTCCTTTTACACCAACAACCTGTCTATGAAAAGAGAAAAAGTGAAAAAAAAAACATTGACTTATCACATGTATGTTCCCCAATTCGCAAGTCCCAAAAACACCAATTGCAAAAAGATAGAGAAAAAGAGATTCTGCATAAGGCTGTGCATGCATTGATTACTTTGCCTCTTCATAGTGGCGCGGGTAATTTGGTTTAATCAACAACGATAATGCCCTCTCAATCATGTACCCTAAACCCTAAATATTTTCAATGTCAAAATAAATTATACCTTAATATTATTATTCAATCTCGAATGAATTAGTTGAAGTCTTATAAGTAATTAACAAATTACTTGTTGAAGTCTTACGAGTAGTGAATGAATTAGTCAACCAAATTTTATAAGTAATTAATATATTAGTCATTGGGGACTTATTAGTAGTTAATGAAATAGTCGTTTATGATAATTTATAGTCTATTTTATCTATTTTGAGTACAACAATTAAGAATAAGTGAACCTATAAATTATATTGTTGAGTACAATGAGTAAAACAATAACAATAGAGATGAATCAAATTTTTTTACAATAAAAACTTTATTGTTTAATGTACTTTAAATTTAGTCAGTTTTGTAATAATATTATACTACGAATTATAAAATATAACAAAATTTTTTGTTAGTTTATGAAATAAAAAATTTACATGCATATATTAAATTCGCTTTTTTACTACAGATTTCTCTATTTGTTGTCCTAGATTCAACATAGTACCTGTTTGTACAAAACACAATTAACTCTTGAGAGTTAAAAATGATTAATACTCCTATATAAAAACTTTAATAAATTTGACAACGAGGATATATTGGTACAATCATATATTATATATATAGTTTTTAACAAAATTTTAATACTTTTCATTCTTTACAGCAAAACCATTTTAATTTATTATTGAGCTAGATAATAATTTGCAGACCCAAATCTTATTTTGGAAAATATAAATCAACTTAATTTTATGTACAAATTAATAATTTGTTTGGAAGAACGTGAGACAAATACGCTTTTGAAAAAAAAGTGTCCAAAAGTGAAAAAAAGAATTTAAAAAGTAAATTTTACATCTAACACAATCTTAAAAATATGTTGTGAATTGATATATTCTAGTCCAATAGTTAACTGAAAATAGATTGAGCAATAGATTCAATAAATTCACTAATATATGTTTCAACAGTGTAATATCATGTTAACAAACTTAAACCTAAATTGACTTATAAAATAAAATTTATATTTATTTATATATTATAATTTGATCTTATTTATGAGTTTCAACAACTTGTTTAGCTTTACAAATTAATTTTACATCTAACACAATCTTAAAAATATGTTGTGAATTGATATATTCTAGTCCAATAGTTAACTTAAAATATATTGAGCAATAGATTCAATAAATTCACTAATATATGTTCCAACAGTGTAATATCATGTTAACAAACTTAAACCTAAATTGACTTATAAAATAAAATTTATATTTATTTATATATTATAATTTGATCTTATTTATGAGTTTCAACAACTTGTTTAGCTTTACAAATTAAAATGAAGTTAATATATATATATATATATATATATATATATATAAAGTATGTCTTTTATAGTGGATTAATAGTTTGATACTAAATATTATTAGGTGATTTCCTTAATCGAAGTTTTCAACCTACATGTAAATTACTTAATTTCACTGATAAATTTAACTATAATTTGTTTAATATGACAAAAACCACTTAAGTTTTAGTTTATAATAACTTGTTCAAGTACACAATACCCTGTGACAAAATTACAGTGAACTTATGTTTGAATATGACTTATGGTTTACAATTATTGTTTGAGGGAGGTGAAAATAAAGTTCCGTTTTCGCCAGAAAATGGTTTACAAACTATAAATTACTGTTGTTATCTTTGTTATGTATTGTGTATGTGTAAGATGATTGAAATATTAAGTATTGTTAGTGTTTATTTTTTGTTCATTGTTGTTGTTTTAGGAAAAGATACAGAGTGTATTTAATGTTGTATTTGCATGAACGAATTCTAATGCATGTGTTGATACACTGATTTAGGAGTGATTGCGATCACAAATTTGTGGGATATAAAATAGGATTATAATAAGTTTAAAACTTTTCATAACAACTTTTTAATAATAAATCACATGTTATTATTTTATTAGTTTGTTTGAATTTATTTTCAGAAAATATTTAAAAAGACCAATCATAAATGTTGTAAAAAGTTAGTAAAAAAAAAAGTTAATAAAAAAACATTTTTTTATAAAATATTCTTCATCTTAAAAATTTGCGTGGAGTGTGTTTTTCGTAAACCTAACCTCGTCATGAATTTCAAAATGGCTTGTTATTGTTGGTTAATAGTTTTGGTTTTAGAAATGAGTTGGAGACAAAGAAGAGGGGAAAGAGATATAGAACCATTCCTGGAAACTCCAATTAGTGAGAGAATGATTCATATATATTTTTATTTTATTAATAACATATTTTGCTTTTACTTTTTTTTTATTATTATTATTAATAATAATATATTAATTTTTATTATAAAAGAAAAATAGGAATTTTATATTTTAATATATTAAAACCTTCTTTTTTGTCTATTATATCATTCAAATCATTCATAACTTTCACAAACTTCATCCCAAAATTTATTATTTTCACTTTCAAATATTTTAAAAGAAATCATACAAATTTTATCTCTAAATATACTCAATTTCATTGATGCATTCTTTCTTAAATTCATTTTTACAAAAAAAAAAAAACACACCCTACCCTAACTGAGAATGAAGTGAAAAAAAAATAAAAATCATATAGATATTCAGCCATTTTACTTTTGCATATGAAAACGTATAAACATTACGTCGACCATGTTTATGCATCTATCTATACGCGCGGATTCGATTAAGTTCCGGTACAGAATTTTGTTTTTAAATTTTCTTATTTAACCATTATTTTAAACTAAAATAATTACATTTCTATTTTTTATTTTTTAAATAGTTATTAATTTGAATTTAATTATTTCATAAATCAAAATAATATAATTTTACTTTTTTAGTAAATATTTTTTAAATTCAAATAATTATTTATAATAAAAATTTGCCATATGTACTAATTTGGTTCTTATTTTTATTTAAACTTATTTAATTTAGTTATATTTTATTTTTATTTTTTTTATTTTTATCCTATTTTTTTTCAATCTGTTCAGTTTCATCTTTTTATTAGTTTAAATAATTAGCCGACAGTTAGTAGTATTTGACACAGTGAATTGGAGATAAAGTGAATTAAGCATTTTAGAATACTTTTTTCACCTATCAACGATTTGGATTTTTCACGCAACAGGGGTGTTAAAAGTCACTTTCCAAATAAGTGTTTATAGGTCGTGGTCTAATGACGCAGTCTCGGCCCATGAATAGGCCCATTTAATACGAAAAATCGATCAAGTTAGAATTTAGGGTTTATAGACAAGAAGGCAGCAAAGATAACAGTGTCGACGCCGAGCTCTGTTTCCTAGCCTCCGTATCTTCATCATCCACCTTCGCACACAATGGTACGTTCACAATTTCGTTTTTTCACTGTTCCGTTCAATTTTCACTCTGACGCAGACTCTTGCATGCATTTTTATATGTTCAGATTATCCCGGAGAAGAACCGTAAGGAGATCTGCAAGTACCTCTTCCAAGGTAGGTTCGCTATAGCTTATCATTAGTGGTGTTTGTTCGTTAGGGTTTCATCCCGTGGAATAACGAGTCTTACCTTTTGTCGGTGTTTATGGTGCAGAGGGAGTTTGCTATGCGAAGAAGGACTTCAATTTGGCGAAGCACCCTGAGATTGACGTGCCTAATCTGCAGGTGATAAAGCTGATGCAGAGTTTCAAATCTCGCGAGTACGTGAGGGAGACCTTTGCTTGGATGCATTACTACTGGTTCCTCACCAACGATGGCATAGAGTTTCTCAGAACTTATCTTAACCTTCCTTCCGAAATTGTCCCTGCCACTTTGAAGAAACAGGCCAAACCACCTGGCAGGCCCTTTGGCGGCCCATCCGGTGATCGCCCTAGGTATGCGAAGAAAATCACTGTAAATCATTGAATAATATATAATACGATACAACGCGCATTTGTAGGATTAGTATGATAGTGTTGTACTATGAGCTTAACTGGCTTAACTTAGAACAAGAGATGCAGGGATTTGGTTATAATTAACTGATAACTATTATTTCTATTAGTTGATTGCAATAAGCCTGATTTGTGGCGCTTTGAACAGGGGTCCACCACGCTTTGACGGCGAGCGTAGATTTGGTGGTGATCGTGATGGGTACCGTGGAGGTCCCCGAGGCGGTGGGGAATTTGGAGGAGACAAGGGAGGAGCTCCTGCTGATTACAGACCCACTTTTGGGGTAATCGCTTTTTCTACTGCAATTCATTTTTTTCTTATCTGTTTAGTGTAATCATGGTTGTCATTTGCTTTCAAAGTAGTTTTCATCATCATTTTCTTGTCTTTCTTTTGATTGGATCCGTTCTACATGGTATGTACTTACACTGCCTCCTATTTGAAGAAATGATTTTTATCTTAGCTCATTTTGTATTAGCTTCTAACTTACAGAGCTTTAGTCTGGATAAGTATTTTGTTCCAAACCCTTATAAATTATAGTTCCCTTTGTGGAGAGGTTCTGAACAAGTTGAAAAAGAAGTTAAAATTAATTAATTTATGTGCAAAAAGATTTAAAACCTTACTCCTATTAAATCCCTTCATTCCTATATCTTGTTTTTATTCTCATTTTCACCACTAGAGTATGTTAGTGACTAGGGCTATGTCTGTGCTCAAGTTTTAAACTACTAGAGTATATTTGTGACTAGGGTTGGATTGTTGTTATTGAACATTTATGAATAAGTATGGGTAATGTGATTGTGAAGATTTCTTGAATGGTGAAAACGTTGCTGTCACAATGGTAGTTGCATTTGATGATTGTATTTTGTGAAATCGAATGATTTGTTAAAAGGCCGCCGGTGTTTCTGCCTGTTGTTCGCATGTATGTGGTCGTTTCCGTTTAAATCTTTGAATTTCTTTTCTTTGCCATGTAGAGTAGAATTCCAGAGATATTAAATTATGGCACAAGTTATGGGTTGCCTTCGGCTGGAAGAAATGGTTTATAGTTTTGCTCAGTTTGGCTTATTTTTTAACTCGATAGAGTTCTTGTCTTAGTTAAGTATTTGTTTTCAAGCACTAGTAGAATTGTAAGTAGTTGTGGGGAGATAATTTTGAACAAGTTTAGGTGTACAGGTTAAAATTAACTTCTTCAAGGAAGGTTGATTCATTTTACTTTCTCTTGCAAGTTCTCTTGGGAGTATTTGCTTATAATTTCCTTTTATTTGCTCCTTTTTGTTGTAGAAAATGTGAAACCAAGTCCTGGGTTGGGAACTCATTCGATTTGTACATGTGCAATATATTCCTCATCAATAGTGTCATGTAATTGATGAATCTGATTAGAAATTCTTGTTAATGTGCAGTATAGAACATTTTTAACTGATCTCAGTGTCTTGTGGCTGATCATTAGGTTTTGTAATTACAGTTATGGTAGATGTATCCTTGAAGCAGTCGAGTTCTAATGTAGATACCTAGCTATATTTGTATGAGCTTGGGACATTTTTTGTGCTGTATGGGATTTTTTGGTTTCTTTTTCTGTAATGTTTTTCCGTCTCATAATTAGTTTACCATATTGCAGGGTCCTGGCGGAAGGCCTGGCTTTGGTCGTGGATCTGGTGGTTTTGGAGCGCCAACCAGTTCCAATCTTCCATAAGGATAATGTTTTCTGTTTTATTTTTTGTTTAATTTTTTAGAGAATGTGCCTGTAGTTGGAGTTAATAGATTACCCTCTCGTATTGATTGTTTTATCAGCTTAAGAGTTTATATTCAGTTTTCGTTCAATGAATATTTTGAATTGAGTTTATACTAATTGAGTGTTACATCCCTCCGGTTCGGTCTAGAGCCCAACTTCTAATGCTCGAAGTTGGTCAGAGCTTTTGTTACTGCATTGCATATTTCGGACTTGCTGCCAATATTTATACCGTACATGAAGTAAAACATCCATGGCAGCATTTATACTTACTATGGACTTATTACGTAAAAAAATCCTTTGATCAATGTAGTGCACCAGAGATTTTCATATAGTTTTCAAATCTGTAAAACTATGGTGAACCATCTTTTATTGTCGTTGTCTTGATTTTCTATAAAGTAAGTGGATTTGTGTTTCTTATCCGTCGTTTATGTATATGTTTTAAAATCAAGTGGTAGTTTTCCATATTCAAATCTTGTGTATTTTTAACTGTGGTATTAGTAACTTGCCTATTACAAAATTATTGCACTGTCTTGCTTTATTTAAACATTCGCTCATAAATGTTATCTTTTTCGATCAATGTTTTTATTTTGGCTTTGGGTTCCATATTATGAATTTTCTTTCAAATCGTTCTCATTAAAATGGCTTCGTCTTTGGTGTTTCTTAATTCTTTTTATCGTTTTTCAAGAAAATTCTTAGTAGGCTATACTTTTATTTGTAGAAATTATAAGTTTTGTAAGACAAAAGTTAAGCTTGTAAATAGAAAGAAAGTCAAAAGTACTGTTACATTTCTCTCACTAAAACTGCAGAACTTTTTATACTTTTGAAGACAAAACTTCAAATTTATTACATTACAAGGAAATTGTTTTCATTGAAAAAAAAAATTCAATTAGGAAAGCTTAATTATAGGTTGATGATCGCCCATATCGGAGAAATCCAAAAAGATTTGGACGTACTGTTGATTTGGTTCGGATGAGCAAATAAAATTAAATGATTAAAATTGGATCAAATAAATCATACTGGTTTACAATTTTATAATCATCGGACCGAAAGTAATATTTTATTATTTATGAATTTATAGGTATATTTTAAATTTAATTTTTTAATATAATATTGTTTTATTAAAATTTAATAATAAGCTATTTAAAAAAATATTCCTTATAAAAAATAATTATTAAATTACAGGTAGGCATAATTCATTATAAAAAAATCATTGAAATTAAATATATATAATATTTTTTACTAAAGATTCAATTATTTATTTCATCTCTTCCAAACTAAAATTAAAAATATTTCTTAAAATTTTGATACCATATAAACCAAATTAATCCATAACCTAATCAATTCATAATTAACTAAATTATTGAATCAAATGATCATATATAATTTTAAAATATTAAATTTGAATTATATGGATTTATTAGGTGGAGTCTAAACTATCATATATAATTTTTAAAATGTTAAATTTATATAGATTTGTTAGGTTGAGTCCATCTTTGCTCGTACTTATATTGTAATTCTGATAACAAAACCACATTCATTTTTTTAAAATACATAAACAAATTCTTATTCCATTTTAATCCTTTCAAATATATATATATATATATATATATACACACACACACATATACATACGTGTGTGTGTATTTTTTTATTTCAATTCTTATAACTATATCACTTTCGTATTTCAATATTTGATGACGTTATAATATATACTTTGCTGTGTTATTATTGCTAAAATGATAATTTTACTAACATATCATGTAATTATATCACACTGTAACATGATAATGACATAGATTATCTATTATAAATTAAAAATATAATTTATATATTTAAACAATTTATTAAAATTTCTAATTATAATATAATTATATATGAAAAATTAGTTATTACATTTTTAATTCTATAAAATAAATTGCTGAAATATTAATTCTTCTGTTAGTCATACTCAAGTTCCTTCTGGAGTGATTCTCTTGTCCAAACATATGGTTTTTTCTTGTTCGCAGCTTATTATATCTTACTTTACGGATTTGATATTCTCTGCAGATTTTCAGAATTTGAAGCTGGTGAATTCAACACAACACCACGATGTAGCTTTATTTTACGCGCATTGGTTTTTCTCAATAAAAATTTAAAATATATGAAGAACATTTATTTGAACAACACAAACATTGCAAGAATTAATTACCATAAATTGCACTTACATCTCATTACATTTAACACAATATACAAGATTAAGAATTTTGCTCTCTAACACCGTCTCCTTTAGTTTCTTATGCAATCATACAAACGGAATGATATGTGAAAAGAGAAACAGTATTGAAGGTAATTACTTCATGTTATTTATACTCCATGTCTCTTCTTCATTAGACTACTACAGGTTCGGATTCTCTCCAGTTTTTGCAGCTATATGTAGTGAATTTTGTAAACTTACACTTGACATGTAAAATTGCAGGATCTAGTTTTTCTGCATTGTACAAAGAATGGCTGAATCTGATGTGTTATGAAGCAAGTCAAACGCTGATCTCCAACAATGCTTTGCTTCAAGTTTTCAACCAAGATAAGTTGCATCATATATACACACGCATTGAAAATTTGAACAGAAAACAGCACTCGAGTCGATCACCATCCAAATCCTTCCACACACCACATCCCAGTAACAATCACCACAGAATAATAGAATTTTGGCATAAAAAAGAACAGATTTCAAACAAAGTTTCTTCAGAGCGATAATCAAGCTCTCTCGGGAAACTTGTGCACACTTTATTTGTGTTGAATTGGCCTAAAGCCACCAAAACAATTAGAGGCTCCGATCGAGCATCACATTTTTTATAACTAGCCTTTTTCATTTCATGTTCAATTAGTCCATTTTTTTCCCTCTTTTGCACACCATAAAGTACAATACGTGTTGTACTTTCAACCACAGCACACGATTCACCATGCAACTTATCACAGGCAATTCGTGAACTCAGAATGAGACGTGATTCTGAGGAGTATACGTACCTAAAAAGG